GAGCAACCTGATCTAGTGGAAGGTGTCCCTGCTGATGGCAGGGGGGTTGGAACTGGATGAGCTTTAAGGTCCCTTCCAACTCTAACCATTCTATGATTCTATGATACCCTACTATTCTTGTGAGACACTGAAGCTTTACTACATCTGAAGCGCTAGCAAAATCTAGGTATTTTATAACATACAAGAAAAAAACCTTCTGTTGTTGACTAGAAAAGTTTCCTGATTTTTTTTCTGGTTCCTTTTTGTTGATATTAACAATAGAAATTTGTTCTGTTTACTAATGCAAGCAGTCTTATAATATCTTTCTAGCAACTTTTGCTTCTACCATAATAGATGAAGATGACATATGAAAATGCCAAGCGTTAGACGTGTCGTGCAGCTCTCATTGAGAGATCTCATCATCTGGATACAAAGAGTTTGGGGTCTTTTGTTGGTTTTGGGATTGATTTTGTTTTTCATACCTTATCCAGGCAAAAATTCTTTGAAATCAGAGAAATTACCTTGTGGAAGAAGCAGAAATTGGACCTTCTTTTTTAATGAATGAAATGAGAGGGTCTTTTTTGGGGATTGCCTGGAGGTTTTTTATGGCAACTTAAGTTTCCCTGCCATCACTCATGTTCTTGGAATGCTTTATAAAACTTAATATCTACCTGTGGGCAACTCTTACCAGTATAAATTACGGGTGACTGTCAGTGCCAATAAAAGGCATAAATCTTATTAAAACTTTGTGCTGCCCTCTCTCTAGAGCGATTCCTTAATTTTCACAATTTGTGTTGTAGGTTGTTCCTTTGTGATCAAATTGCATTTTATTAAAATACTGTAACTAGTAATACTGATTTGCTGAATTCTGTGATGGAGAAGGACAAATGGCACTGCTCTCTGAATAGGATGTTAATGTTCGGAGAGAATGATCTTCATATCTATTTGTAGTAATAAATCCATGTTATTTTTTGGTAGTGAGTACCACTCAGACCTTCCTCTCCAGCATTTCTGCTCTTACTAATACTGAGCCACTTCTGTTGTGATCCTGGAAGAGTCTAACAGCAGCATTTCCGTTCTACCAAAAGCCATGTTTTCAGAGACACTTTCACATATTGTTTCATAAAGAAACAATAAAAATATCACAGTAGTGAGTCGAGCGACATTCTGCAGAAATTTATACTCTAAGTAAAGGGTTTGATTAGGAGGAAGTTGTGAAATAAGCAGTTAAAGAAGATTAAAGCTCAGCACTATGTGGAGCACACCAAATTTGCATGTTGAGCAGCTGGAAAGCCTTGTATGTTCTCTTTGCTGCTGTGATGCATCCCTAACCTCAGCTCTACCACGCCTGTTATTTACAGTCCAAGTCCTGCAGGGCAGTGATTTGGTTTATTTTATTTTATATTTTATTTTAATGCATGTTTGTACTGACTTTGAACAAGGGGCCTCAATCCCGTTGAGGCCTTTGGCGCACACTGGAATGAAAACAACGCATAATTGCAAAAGATTTATTGTTCAGATCCCCCCTTTTATTTCATGCTGACCTACATTTGTACTCTGCTGACATACTAGAGCTGTGCCAGTGTTTATTGTAATGTGTTCCCGTTCAGTGTCTTCCATTCCCATTTCAGTGTAAAATGCACAGATCGGTCTAATACTGGAGTTTTATGGCACTCTGAGTCCCGTTAAGAGAAGTCCCAGTGAAATAAGCACCAGCTCAGCTGGCAAATCAAGTCTAATTAACTCAGCCAGGCTAAAACCAAGCCCAACCCGGTGGAGATTAAGCAGAAAAATAAACTGTCCTGAAGTATTGTCACGTACTACACACACATTCATGTAGCAGAAAAACACATTAAAATATTATTTTAATTGATCTAATTTCCAAAGTCTTAAAAGTGAAACTGTAGCTGTCACTTCTTTGACAGTCCCTGGAAATACATGGTGCCACTCTAAGGTACTGCTTTGGGAAAAGTGTCCAGTGTCCTTAAATCCTTTCTGTCCTCTATATCCACAAATAATAATTCTTTTAATCTCTATGCAGGCATAGAATTTCCTCTGAAACAAAGGAAAAATGGTTTTTTTTCTGTTCTTAATCCATTCATAGCTTCTGACTAAAAGTAATTATTGATTGTCTGTATTGCTTTTATGAACATTAATGAACGTAGCTGGGGAAAATGGGAATTACTTTGCAACACGTGTCAAGATTGGAATGAAAAAGACGTGTAGAAATTTCTCTGAAATCATTTGAGAATGAGAAAAGCATTCATTTTTGCTTGCCTGTTTTTCTTTATATCTGCATAATTAAAAAAAAAAAGACCATATGAAGAATGCTGCTGTGCTCCAATGAAACACTGGAGCTTTTTGCACCATTACGTGTCGGTGAGAGCTCAGAGCAGCTTGAGCTGTGAGCTTGAGGGAGGTTTCCCAGGTCTCTGATACCCTGACTGGGACACACAAACAAGGGCAGCGGTGACTGTTACATTCAGGTTGAGAGAAGTACAATGACAGGAGGAGCAAACCACATTCAGAATTTGTGAAACATTTTAGTCATGAACTTTTATGAACTGGAAGACAGAAAGGACCATCACCCTAATACTTTCCTACCTATATATTTTCTTTTATATAGACATACACTGTATATTTTTTCTACTTTATCAATATAGTTGTTATATCCCAAGTCAAGAGACTTCTAGAAATCTTTTTAGGATTTAATTCAATAAGCAAATCTTTAATTACAATGAAAAACTGCTCAGTTTAATAATTTTAGCATATAATCCTCGCTATAAATTTTCTTTTCTTCAGTTAGAACTACACTTTGAGAAATCTCTTATAAATATTTGTAGGGAGCTTCTAGCAGTCTTTTTTAAGGAAGATTTTCAACTGAACATATTTGTACCATACTCTAATTGACTAATTTTCTTACCTTGACCATAATTTATTTTGTATGAAATTCTCAGTGATTCATGTCTCATCATAAACTTGCAGTTACGAGGTCAAAGAGGAGCGTATTGACTGCTTGAGGCAGAGAGGGAGGAGCAGCATTGATGGGTTGTGGAGAGGAAGCCATGTTCCTCTGGGAAACTGGTAAAAATAGAACATGGGAAACAAAACTTAAGATCATGTAATTGCTGAAGCACCAGTCAGTTTACAGGGAATTTGATGCTGTGACACAATTCTGTGAACTCTATAACAGTAGAAAATGGGTGTAATAAAATTCTTGATATTCAGTTCTTCTGGTATTTGGCATAGTTAGTGTGTTATGGTAATATCCATCTCTCTAAGTGATAATTAGTTTAGAAGAGATGCTCTAGAGGCTATTGTGAATACATATTTTGTGTTTTACTTGCCTTGAATCCTTTTCTGGGAAGAACAAAACTATTTTGTCCCCTAATCTAGTTCAGATATTAGAAATGTCACTGGTGTATACGTCCTTTAATCATCGCTTAGTCCATTTATATGATTTTAACTTTTATTTTTTGTACTTGTAGCGATATTAGACTATAGTAACATTTATTAAGCTCCAGTTTTAAAAATGTGTCTAAAATTCACAGAGTTTTCTGTTTGTTCCCACAGGATTATGTTCAGAAACTGTACCCGTAACTGATGTGTCACACAGTGAATCAGTTGAAGAAAGCCCTTTCCGTCCCCCTTCCCATTCTTTTTCCACTGTCTTCGATGAGGACAAGCCAATAGCCAGCAGTGGAACTTACAACTTGGACTTTGACAACATTGAGTTGATTGATTCTCTCCATGCCTTAGGACCGACCTCTCCAGAATCGAAGAATTGTGATCCCAAAGCGAATGTTCGAAGAAAATCTACCGATTCAGTCCCAGTTTCTAAATCTACATTGTCTCGATCTCTTAGCTTGCAAGCAAGTGATTTTGATGGAGTATCTTATCTTGGCAATAGTGAGACATTAGCACCGGCAGCAGATGTGTACAGTACTGGTTCAAGTAGTGCTTCTAGTACCCTTAAGAGAACAAAGAAATCCAGACCAGCTTCTGTAAAAAAGAAGCAGTCAGCAAAAAAACCTCTGGATGCTCCACCGGTGAAGGAAACACCACAAGAACCATCTGATCTTGACCAAGCAGCTGGTGCCACAGGTGAGGATAAACCAGTATCTGAAGCAAAGGCTGACTCAGTAAAGCCCGAATGTACTGAACCTTCTAAACTCTCTGCTGAGAAACAGGAGGCCCCACCTGTGCCTGAAGGATCCTACCCTTTGGATCCAGACAGTTTTGAAGGCATTAGTGCATTTAGCACTGGAGGCAGCAAAGTACAAAACTCTCCCCCTGCCAATAAGAAAACACTACCTCTTACAACGGCACCAGAGGCTGTGGAGGTGACTCCGTCTGACACTGGAGGACAAGAAGATCCTCCAGTCAAAGGCCTTGCGGTGAGGTTGGAGTTCGATTATTCTGAAGAAAAAGGGGTGAGTGAAGACCAGCAAGAGAGTACTACTCCTCCCAAAAAAGCAGGTAAAAAGCCTGGTGCTAAAATGCCACTACGGAGGCCAAAGGCTAAAAAGTCAGCGGAAAAGCTTGACAATGCTCCAACCACACCGACCAAGTCGCCCGCTGATCCAAACGAAATCCCTATCACAAAAGGCTCTTACACTTTTGATATTGACAAGTGGGATGATCCCAATTTTAACCCGTTTTCATCTAGTACAAAAATGCAAGAATCACCCAAACTGCCTCAACAGACGTACAGTTTTGAGCCAGACATGTGTGAGGACTCTATTGACCCTTTCAAGTCTTCTTCTAAGATAGCCAGCTCACCCTCTAAATCTCCAGCTTCCTTTGAGATACCAGCCAGTGCCAACGAAACAAACGGAACTGAAGGAGACAACTTGAATAAACCTGCAAAAAAGAAGAAGACACCACTAAAAACGTAAGTTAAAGGGCACAGATGTTTCTAGATTGGAAGCAGCACATTCCTACCCCTTAGCACAGTTACATGCAGTTTATATTTGAATAGAGAAAGGAAGATGCCGTTGAGTGTTGGTAGCCACACAACTGGACTCATGCTGGGGTTCTGTATGTGTTCTCCCTCAACCTGTTTCCTCAGTAGCTTGATGTTGCCAGACTGAAGGGGGTAACCAAGGCTAAATCAGGACAGATTAGACCACTGGACTGGCAATTGGATTTTTGAAGTTTTAGGTCTCAGGGAAGCTTTGAATCTGATTAAGTCCAAATTTTATCAGTTTTGTGCCCAACTTTCCATGACCTCATCTTGGGAATTTGATACTGTTTAAGCTGATGGAAGTATTCACACCAGTAAAGACTATTGTGAGTCATCAGTTTTGAGAATGGGATGTGAAATAGTAAGGCAGCGACAAATCTCTTGTTGCACACAGCAGGAACATGGTTTTATCTAGTGACTTACGCTGTTTAAAAGAAAATAACCTGAAACAGAAGAGTGCAGTACTGAAATATATATTTTTAAATACAGGACTAAAAAATGTGAAAAATTTCCTTTCTGTGAAAAAGCTTACAGTTCTGCAGAAGGGTTTAAATCTCCTAGACTGCTACATGTTAGGAAAATCTCCAGCTTTTAGACACAGCTGCCAAATTGCAGGATAAATTTTCTAGTTTGTTGTATTTAGCTATTTGGTTAATGATTCCAATGCCTAGTTGCACTGATTCCATGGTTAACTTGCTGGTGGTGCATGTTATCTTACCCGTTCAGACATGGTTATTTTGAGTTGGTAATCAGTAAGTGTGTATATTTCATTTATCTGAAATGGATAGCCTGTGTCTTTGCCTATGAGGAAGTATCTCACTGCATGTCCCTTTAAGATTTCAATGTTTCAACTAACAAAAATGTGACTTAAAATTTCAAAAGCCTGACAATATGAACATAATGTGGTTAATGTAAAGCAGTACAAAAATGACCTTTATGGAGTGAGGTGGAGGTTGTTCCGTTTTTTTCTGAGCAGCCTGCTACCCTCTAGATGTCTAATTCACGTCCCTTGCCAAATTTGAGGAAACTTATGGCATTTTTTATTTTTACGGGCATTTCTGACTTATGAAAATTATAGACCACTGTATACATTGAGTTGAGACTGAGTTGTTCTGATGTTGCTTTGTTTTGAAGTATGCCTGAAATTTCAGGGAAATTAACATGAGAGTTAAGATGCATCTAAGCTGACACAGTTTCCCAGCCTGCGGTCCCAACTGGTTTTGTCCAAAACAAGAAGTCTGACTGCAAGAGAGGAACAATTTGAATCTTACTGAGGAAATGCAGAGGGAGAGATGGGAATTTTAATATCACCAGATCCTGAAGTCTGTTATTTCCAGCCAACCAGAGTCTCCTTGTGTCTTCCAGTAGCTGCAGTGGAGTTGACAGACCCCCAGTATAAATCTCTTGGGTCTACCCATCTGCTTTGAATATCAAAATCAATTCCAAATTGTTAATTTAGGGGTAATATGAGTTTACAAAGAGTTTACTAAATCACATCCATCCATGGGAATATCAATCACAAGGAGGCCCTGTCCTACAGTCACAAAGCTCACTGCTCTCTTTATCGTGGTGGAAGAAGAGAAACTATCCTGGAGCAGAGCTTACAGGTTCTGGGGTCAGGTTTGCAGGGATTCCCAAGCCTGGGACTGCTTTCACTGCGTTGTGTTAAGTGTCTGTTCACTACAGCCCCGTAACCCACTTTTGCTAGTGGTTTCTAACAAAGAAGAGGATCTGCATATTAATACACCGTGCAGCCTGGAGCCACCATGCTTCCTAGAAGAAAATTATCCCAAGGCTTGTTGGGCCATGCTGAGGGAAGCAGTGGCTCTATTTTGTCTTTGGCTGTCTCTAGCCTGTCCTCTCCACAAACAGGGCCCTCTGCATGACTCCTCAATGGGGTCCAGTGCTGGAGAACCCCTGGCCAGGCAGGGAAATGGGATATAGGACCCTTCTTGGTGCTGCTGTCTTGGTGGGAGGGGACAGAGAAGCCAGTGTAAGATGCTTCAGCTGCAAGGTGTTGAAAGGAGGGTGTTTGAATTAGGAAACGATACTGTAATATACCAGGACTTGTAAATCTGAAATAATGGCTAATTTTGCAAAGCCAGGAGGTTTTTTATTAGCACTGTTTTGAGGGGTGCAAAAATACACCCGTGTGGACCAGTTTGAAAATGTGTTCCTTATACTGAAAGACAGAGATTTCTAGATTAGTTTATGGGAGGTGAAGAAGCCAGGTGTGAGTTTAAGCGATTGCTAAGCCTGTACTTTGAAACTGTGCCATGTGCTAGGTCTTGCCTGTGTTAAATCAATAAAAATAATCAGGTTTGATTCTGGAATGAAACCTGCAGCAGTCTAAGCATTAACCTCCATGTGAAGAGTGAGATTTTTAGAAGATATCAGCTCAACGCAAATTATTCTCTCTATACCTAAGTCCTGAGCTGTTCTGAGTTAGATCATCTTGCTCAGATGACACTGAGCAAAGAGCAGCTGATGCCTCGCGAGTTCCTGCTTATAGTGATGAATAAAAATAGATGGCTTGTATAGACAGTGCTCTTGAAGCTGTTGGATGATCTGAGGCTGTGCTCAGAAATGCAAGGTGCCAGCTTTCAAGTGCTTTGCAAGCGAGAACAACCAAGCAGAAGCTGCCAAGCTTATAAGTAGATGAAAACTTTTCTTAGCCTTAATTGTTTGTCAAGTTTGCTTCTGGTTTTGGGGTGATCAATTTGTTCAATCAGAACACAAAGTTAGGTTTCAGTGAAAGGCAAAATAGATGAGATTTAAAGACGTCATTTTCTTTCTTCACTTCAGTAAATGATTTGAAATGGTCAAGTAGCTTTTTCTGTTCTGTCATTACAAATCAGCAGACGTGAAGAAACCTTGCGTGACTGTGCTCTTTCCTTAGCTTAGCTGCCATTCAAGAGCAGTTTTACATCCCATGTAATAACAAATACTGCATTTTGAAAAGAAAGCAGGTGGTTACCATCAGTGAAGGCAAGGATGCTTAGTATGGTGCTAGGAACTTACCTTGGAGGCCTCAGCTCTGAAATGTGTCTTGTAAGATGAAAGCATGTCGAAAGTATAACACTGAATTTGAAAATATTAATGGACTTGATGAATATTTCTTTTCCTCCCCATGTATTTCACAATAAAAAGTAGGTGTTAAGATTATACAGGTAGAAAATGTGCATGATCAGATTGCCTTAACACATTAACATTAACAGAGTATTTGTAGGTTTATCTTTTTTGTCAGTTCCTTCTGTCTGTCTCTCTTTTCTTTGTCTTATTTGTCTTAGGATGGTAGAAGATGTGATGTCTGTATGTTCTCTGTTGTAAGTAATTCTAAGCTAACAATGCAAGTTTCTGCTTTGATTTATGGGCTTTTTAATTTTACTCATTTATTTTGCAGCATGATCAGTTATTCTCCAGCATGAAGCTTTTCTGTTAACTATTTCACTTCACTGGCACATATGAAAGCTATTTTAAGTAAGATGCCTTGCTGTGAATGAGTTTGAGAAATCTATTTCCTCATTATCTGTTTGCCTATCAAAGAAGATCCTCTTTTAAAAACTATATAGATTTTGTATCCTTGAGCTAAAATATGAACATTTTATTTCTACCACTGTACAACAACATTGTACAATCAGTTTTTCATAAATACTGCACAAAGTGTTTCTCCTTCTTAAAGGAATATGTTATCCTAATTACTTCTAGCACCATAACTCGGTAATTACTAGCATTGAACACACTGATATTCAGCTGTCCAATTTATTTTCCCCTTTAGACGTGGTATTGATTTACCCTCTACCGATTGAAACCCACCATTATAATTTCTAGTGTTGATCTTGCCATTCATTGATCAGGGATGAGCTGATGGGCATTAATTTTTGCTAGTGCATCTCAGTTCAAACATTAAATCTTTATTGACAAGTTTAGTATGATATTTTTCTCCCTCTTCTAGTTAGTGTTTGAATAACTGGCAATATGCATCAAGAGAACAGGTGGTTGATTGGTTTATTTCCTGGTTAGAAATATTTTTAAGCAATTGTGAATAAACATAAAAGCAACATTCATAGTTAATACACCAAGACATGATGTTTATTCTTCATTTTTCTTGCCTGATTGAAGCGTATGGGATTTTGAAGGGCTACAGTGTCCGTGCTCCCAGAGCTGTCAGGGGAACTGGAAGCAGGATTGCCATATTTCTTACTGTATTTGTTTGAAAGAGGGAGGGAATCTGTTGTGCACATTTGTAAAGATAGAGCTTTGTTCTGGCATCTTGGGAACAGCATCTGCCTCAACCGTTTTAATGTAGTCCATCCAAAGCAGACCAATTTTTTTTCTCAATGATTTATGGGGTCATTGAAGCTTACAGCCCAAGTTTATCACATTTTTAATTCTCATTTAAAGATGTGTTTTAGACCTAATTTTCAGATGGGAAACTGGAGCAGACAGAAGCTAAATAATTTGCTTAAGGCCACTGAGGATGTCTGTGGTGGAGCAGGGATTTGAATTACAATCGAGCAGCAACTCTGTTCTGTAAATGTGTCAGTAGTTGGCAAGAAAAATATGGCAGTCCTGCTTTTCTCAGCTTTTGGGGAATTGAGGCCTGTTCCAAGTGCATGACAAGTATATGTGCCTATGGCATGTTTCTCTGTGGTGCTGCTGCCTGATGGATGGGATTTTCAAGCAGAAGGGTTGTCAGAGGTTGCATTGTCTGTGGCTGTCTCTTGCTAGTGTGAAATGACCCAATTCTTGCTTGTATTCCCATATTAACTGTTTTAACTTTATTTTCAGTGATACATTTAGGGTGAAAAAATCACCAAAAAGATCCCCACTATCTGATCCTCCCTCTCAGGTAAAGTGTTGCCTTATTTTGATGCATCTAATTTGTGTTCTTGTAGGGGCAAAACCGAGAAATTAGATTTATTTAATTGTAGAATTGTACATTTAATAATAGGAGAGGCTATTGTAAAGAATATAAGCATATCGGTGCTCAAATATAGCACGCTGAGCTATAATCATAAGGTGTTAAGCTTCTGGTCTCTAGAAACATGTATACAATGTATATTAGAGCTAGTATTTGCTCTGGGAATTCCAGTTAGTGTATTAGCTCATGTATTTTGAACAGTCCTGTGTTACAGTTGAGTGACAATATGAATAAATATCTTCAATCAGTTGTCTGAAAAACTAGATGTAACTATCCACCCTGGAATTTTTAGATTAGAATGTAAGAAACTAAATGCATCAAGCTAGTGGGCCAGAAGGGAAACAGAAATAAAACAAGTGGTCTGATCTACCAGGAACATGTGTTTGGATGGTTTTATTCCTTGTTGTAAACTGCTGGCAGGTGGTTTTCTTGGAAGAGAAGTTAACAAAAGCTGTTCTGCTTACAAAGGCCTAAGTGCTTTGATGTGGCACAGCTCCTTCCATGCTGCTATTCGTCTTCCTGTTATCCATCTTACCCTTTTATTTATGCTGCTTGACAGAAGTGAAGAAAGAGTTCATGACCTCACAGACTGATGAAGGCTTGCTCCCATGAAGGAAGCCTAAAAAGTCAGTTTTGGTAGTCAAAGACTTCAGTTGTGGCTGATGTGTGCCACTTATGTCAAGTGCCTGACATTTAAATGGCTCTGGATTCTCTTTCTTCCTTGTTATCAGGGTGGCTTTGCAATGCGAGTGTTTATCATCAAAGAGTTTAGTTATACTGGGAAAACTTGCTGCTAGTAGAGTTCTAAATGAAGTGCTTTTAATTAAGTATTTTATACAGAGCTGCAGTAAAGAGTATGGGATGAAAAAGATGACTGTGGCCATGCAGAGGAATTTAAGGAGTTGACTATTCAACATGCATGGCAGGGGGGTTGGAACTAGATGATCTTTAAGGTCCCTTCCAACCCAAACCATTCTATGATTCTATATCAATGAAAGATAATGGAATTAATTGGTGCTTATTTTCTGCAGGATCCCACTCCACTGCCTACTCCAGAAACACCTCCTGTCATATCCACGGTGGTTCATGCGACAGATGAGGAGAAACTGGCATCTTCGGTGACCAGTCAGAAATGGACCTGCATGACTGTGGACCTGAACACGGATAAACAGGATTACCCCCAACCATCTGATCTGTCTACATTTGTTAATGAGACTAAATTCAGCTCTCCTACAGAGGGTATGCTTTATAATGGACTGTCTGCATCCAGCTAATGTCATATTTATTGAGAGGGGGTTTGGATAATTATGGACACACTGTTCTTCTGTCCATGCTGCCTGTTCCCTCTGTGCCTTGATGGGAGACTGGGGCCTGATACAGCTCTTGGTTAGTGCTCTTGGATCCAGAGTCACTGAACTACTGATTTCCTGAGCCTGTTCCTCTAACCCGAAAGGAAGAAGGTCCCAAGTTAAAATTTTGCTCCAAGTTTGGGTATTACATTAAGACCATTAACATGCCATCTCTCTTCCCGGTTCCTATGACCCAGGTATCTTTGTGCATAGAATTTTCTCGGATATTCCCTGCGTAAGATGGTTGCCATTCACGTGCCAGATAAAACTTCCTTCTAGATAAGCTCACTAAAATTTTTCCTGTCGTGCCTTCCTGTAAGCAGTTCTGAGCTAAAGCTGGGAGTTTCTTTTAAGAAAAGTGTCACTCCAGGTCTGTGAAATGTGGAAGAGATTGAATTTAGAAAATTTGTGTGTGGCCTTCCTTGGAATTACCAGAGGGGATACTGCTTTGCAACATCTGCTCCAAGGGCAGATTATCAGCTTTGTGAGTGAGAAGAATATATGAGTTTAACTTGGCTTAAACTTTTTCTTCTTGATCAGAATTTATTTTTTTTCCCTAACCTTTCAGCCCATGTCCCAGCCTACAATTAAAGCTACTTTCTGCTGTTTTAGATTGAGTCTAAGGAGTTTTTGCCTAGATAAGAACTGCTAAGCTTTTAGGTCAAATGTGTTTGACATTAAAAGGCATAAATAATCACAGTGGGTTTGATGGGACTGTGTGTGTTCATATGCACGTGCTTATATGTTTGTGTAGCCTAGGCTTTTTGGAAATCTTTTGAGTCTTCTATGCAGATAAGTATTTCAGTCTGGATAAATCTATTTGGCTTTATTCTCAGATTATAAATTTTAGATATCACCTTCATTTCATTTGTATTAAAAAAAATAATTAAGGAAATATTTTTTTAGAAAATAAACTCCCCAAATCTGGGAAAATGTAAATTATATGGAAGGAAATGGAACAAAAGAATAGTGAGAGATACTCTCTAAGCAATCATTTTAGCTATCAAAGTGGGTAGAAGAAAGTGAGCAAAGCTTCTAATTAAATGCTAATTGTCTTGTCTCATGTGCACTGCACGGTATAGTCAGAGTTTCAGATTACATGCTAATTATAATCAACAATGCTTCCGCTTTTCAGATCTCTTAAAAATAATAATTTTTTTCCCTTGACAGTCTTATTCCTGCAGCATTGAGCAACTTTTTAGTAATTCCAGGGCTATTTTATCAGTGTGGATATTTTTAGCCTTCCCAGATACTAGTATTGAGTGTTATCCTGTAACCTAACACAGCTTTTGTACAGATACAGCCCAACTACTGAGTCAGCCGGTACATCCAGCTCTCGTCTGTGGCATGAGCTGCTTCTCACTGCTGCCATTTTCGTGTTGCACAGACCAGAAATAAGCAGTGATTGTTAGCAGAAAATTCTGATGTAATCTTGCAGCTATTTGTGGGAGGAGTTGGAGGACATCACTTAGTAAGTCTGTCATATGGTTAATAAGATAATTAACTTATTTATTGGGATATCCTGGGCATTTGTAGATTTTTAATGTATAGAGATAACCAGAGCCTAAGATTTTGGAGGGGAAATGATGTCTTAGAGGAGATACCTAGGAGAGCAGATAGTGTCTAATTGTGCTGGAAACTTCTGAGAGCAATGAGATGAAACAAACTTTATATAGCAAGCCACGTTATTCCTTTTGTTTCTCGTTGATCTAGTTGAATTGTTTCCATCTGTGTTCTGCCTTTTTTTTTTTTTTTTTTTTTAATTAGTAAAGTTAAATCTGTGTTGTCCTAAAAGTCAGTTTGGATTGCCATTGCAAAGCTGCTAGCAGCCCTGCAGGCAGATGGGAGATCACTGCTGACTGTGCCAGCAGAGGACAGTACCGGTACATCTCCCGTATGCTCACTCCCTGATTGCTCTCTGGGCTCCTAAAGCTGCCCCATAAACATTGCTGATGCACCTCACTGGGCTGTGTGTAGATAAATGAAATGCAGAAACTCAACACTGGATGCTCTTATTCGGTATTTCATGCTTTTTCCTGCAATGCTGCATCCAGGAGGTGGTTTGAATTGCATCGTTTCAGTTTTGGTTTTGCTTTCACTAGGAAGAAGCTTGTATCTGATACCAGGAGGGTCCAACTTGTCTGACTCTCTATTACCATTAAAAACATACAGTGCCAGGAATTTAAATGTGAAGAGTTTGCTATTACAGCATTCTCTCCACTTAAACATTTTACTATTAATATCTCCCACATGTCAGGTACTGACTTAGTGGTTGTTTGACAAAATACATAGACCTGTGGAACTATCGTGCTTGCACTCTAAGGTGCTCTTTATTATTAATAAACAAATAAATAAATAAAGCATTGTAAACTTACATTGCACCCTTTGAAACTTTTCTTTTTGATAAAGCAGGTGAGATAATATCTTTAGGGGTAATTTGATTTTAAAGAACAAACACTTCAATGTTGGTTACCACCTTCCTGATACAAGCCCTACTTTTCAAAAGCTGTTCAAATCTGCCACAGAATTTTAGCGCATACTTTTATTGTAATGTAAATGTTAGTGTGCCATTCATTAGGGCTTACCTATGATGGAAATGAAATTATATAATTGGTTTATTCAATTACCTCATGGAAACAGAGTAAATTACATCATTAGGACAAATTAATTATGTTTTCAATTTTTAAATTAAGATGTCACTGAACAAAGTCTTTGCTTTTATTTGGATGCAGGAAGGCATGCTCTTTTTTCCACTTTCCTGTGTTTTATCTGTCTGCCTCTATATCAGCTACTGGGTGACCATGGATTGGAAAGAATTGCTAGTTATTCTCTCCAGCGTAACTGGGAGATTGGAAGTAGAGAAGCAGTAAAGATTTGCATTTTTATTAGGGTTTAGGTTAAGGGTTCTTTGTAAATCTTCCTGCCTTAGGCTTTTCTTCTGAAACTAAAATGTGAAAACAGCCCAGTAAGCTGGGCTCTTGTCTCACCCCTTGTTCAATGAGCATACAGGTATTTTATGTATGTTTTTATCTTAAGTGCTGCCACAGTAGTCTTTAATGAAAAATTTTGTGATAAACATTAAGAAATAGAAATTAATTCATTTCTCAACAGCTTTTGAAATGTTTTTGCTTTCATTAAAGGAAACTGATATCAGCATTACCAATTACTGAAAAATGTGTTTTCGGTGATAACATGATAGAGGGAAGTTTTCTGTGCTCTGAAACTTTCTTAATATTTTGGCCCCTGGAGCAGAATCTTCAGCAAATGGATAAAGCTGAAATTTTTCATGCAAATGAATTTGCCTGAAATGTGTCATAGGTTCACTGTTGAACGTCAGTGAAAATCAATGCACCTTCTGCTTTCTCTCTGTATATTCTATTTTTTAATACCTCATAGAAAAGTATTGAGCAGAATGGGAGCAGCTCTTGTAAATGAGAGGTGATCTCATTTACTGCTGCGAAAATCCTTTCATGATGTGTTTAATGGCTCTTTTTTTGGTTTTGTTGCAGAACTGGAATATGGCAACTCATATGAAATAGAATATATGGAGAAAATAGGCTCCTCTGTGCCTGTAAGTTCTCACTTCCATTTCCATTCATTTGCATTCCCTTGTCATAATATGCTATCCTGATAATGCCATCAGCCTCACTACCCCTTAAATTAATTATAATGTGCCTGCAGCAGATTTGCAAAACCAGTTCCTTTAAACTGGCATAACTGGGGTAAATTGCACATGCAATATTGTTGTCCTATATCCTGTAAAGCTTGTTCCATTTTATTGTTTTATTTTTAAGCTAACATCATAGTAGTTCTTTCTAGAGACTACAAGCACATCAGTATTTCCAGCAGTGTAGAGTACAGAGCTGTCCACACCAGCTGTTAAACTGTTTTAAGAAACTGGGAGTAAAACTTTTAAGAAGATGGAGGGAATCAGGAGAGACTAGAGAATGAATGTGAAATGTGGAATGCAGTACTGGACGTTACCAGTTGTTTCTCCTTATTTCTATTTAATTCATGGATTTGATAGCTTGACTAGACCTAGTGGGGGTTTATCCACAGGGAAAGTTAGAAAAATCAAGCATATATGTCAGATGCTTAAACTGATGAGAAGTTTCAATGAATATTTTAGTAACACCTTCAGTCAAGGGATGCCTCCTGCCTGACAGGACCAGAAATCTGATTAACCCCAAAGTGGGAGAAGAAGAGTGAACTGTTTAGGTTTTGTTCTTCAATGTTTTCTTCCTCAAAGGGATCATCTGGGTGTCAGTTAGCATGGACTATATTACAGTCTTATATTATTAGTTGTCTGTTGAGTCATTTGGTCACTTAAGGTTTCAGTGACGTGGATCAGCTTTAATGGAGAACTGCTGAGTTGCTTAACAAGTCTTTCTTTTCCTGTTGCCAGCAGGATGATAGCACCCTGAAGAAACAATCTTTATACCTAATGTTTGATGCACAGCAGGAGAGCCCAGTCAAATCGCCTCCCATCAGACTGTCTGATTCCACAACACCATGCTCAGGGTATGTCACTGCAAACAAACTCAGTAATGAAAAAGGATGTCAGGGAAATGGGTTAATACCATAGCACATACACAGGCAATTTTTCCTCTCTCTGCCTCTGTGTTGCAGAGTTGTTTGTGTAAAAATAGATTCCCATCTGTGTACACATATGATAGAGAATAGAGGGCAAAGTTCCAGAAGCTTTATAATGGGAAGGAATAAGGACATATATCTTTGCTGCATATTCTTACTAAATAGTCACAGTGGCATCTGTTTTTCACGAGACAATGGCTTCCTACTTACAGGTTTTTTTCTCAGATACTGAGGTCATTTTCATGTCAATCTAGAAATCTCTTAATTGCAACTTTTCACTTGGCCTTTCCTAAATATATTTTCTAAACAAGGAGTCTAGTTCCTAAGAACAGGATTCAGGGGTTGTATTTACTTCCAGAAATTTGCTTGTTAAGGGCATCTGTTCTTGTTAGTAGAAGTTGTTTGTTGGGAAGAGATGTAGGTCACAATGAGAAAGGGGTGAAAAGGCAAGTGAGAAATATTTAAGGACTCTGCATAACATCTCTGATAAAACTGGATTTATTTAGATGACTCCAGTGCATTGCTTTGAAAGGCTATGGCAAAGTGTCATGAGATATAATCACGCAAAGTTGAGTTGAAACAATGTGTGTGTGTGTGTGTATATACACACACACACATGCACATGCAAAAATAATGAAGAGGACTTGCTTGGTTGTTACCAGAAGCAGTATTGTAAGGGACTTGTGCTCCACACTGAAAGCATGTACACAATCTTTTTCTAGGTCAAGTTTTGAAGACCCTGAATCCCAGCAATCCTCTGGAATGAAAATACAACATCCAGCTTCCCGAGTCCTAGCCGCCAGCCAAGAGGCACACTTACAGTCACCTGACAAGTCAAAGCAGAAAGACCTGGAGCCCATGACCCTAGGAACAACTCCAGAGGCTATTGAAATAGTAAGTAATTTATGATAAGAGTTTGGGAATCATTTTCTTGCAGAGATTTCTCGTGTCATATAAGAGGTAGCAAAAGTGGATCTCCAGAGTAGAGTGAAACTCAACCTGATACTTAAACATCGTGGTAGCAGCATGTGGTAGGACCCAAATGAGGGAGGTAGGTTGATGGAACTGGTGGAATTCAGAAGAATTTTCTGAAACCTTACCATAGCTTAATATGTTCTTTTGATAACATAATCAAAGTTGATACTTAGAAGTGCTATCTTTCTCACACAGGCCTTTTGACAGTGTGCTTTAACCCAATATTTGAAGAAACATTTCATGTAAAAAATAGTGTTTGATTTAAACAGGGAGACACGATTTGTTCTGTTGCACATACTGTGAAATTTCAATATTTTGTTGGAAAAGAACAGGTGCTCTTTCACATTTTTGTATAAACTGTTAACTGTATTGTTGTTATCTGTAAAAATCTGGTTTTTGATCATTAGAACTCATTCCAGCTTCCAGTTAAGCCACTTTTTTCAGTGGCTTCTCTGGGTTGGATTTGAATTAGTGGTGAGCCCTTTCTTGCTTCCAGCCTGTGCTGCATACAGGTGTAAGAGCTTTGGTTCGTTCTCAGATTCATGAAGATTCCCTCAAGGTCTCCACTTTTCCAGGCAAACTTGTTTCAAAAATGCCTACAGCACTAGGCATGCTAAACTATATGATAATGTATTTACTGAGGAGTGAAAATAAGAAGCAGCTCACTTTAATGATGTACTTAATTTATATTAATGATGCTGTTGGTACCATCTCAGAAAATATTTTTTATGAGCTTGAATACTTTTCTCACTGTAGGGAGTCTTGGGTACTCAACTACCAAAGGTCTTGTTTTTGTCACTAATTCTGTCCACCCTCATATTGCGTATTTATTCTCATCATGTTGTAATTGTGAGCATGACTTAGTTTATCCCCAGTAAGCAGCAAAAGACTTTGTAAAGACAGCAAAAAGAGTCTTGTTGAGGTTCCCCTCAGTTCTGGTGCTCTTCAAAGCTTTTGGACTGCCTTAGAGAAGCCTGAACTGATCATAAGCTATTGTATGAACAAAACCTATGGTAACTGTTTGAAAGTGTTAGAGGTCCTAATATTACTTACTGTATGGAAGTCTTGGAAAGTTTGGTCAGCTTTTAAATTAGGAAGAATTGTTCTTGATGTTTGTCTGTTACACCTATGAATAGTGTATTCAAAAGTAATCTTCAGTGGGGCATGAAATCCCTAGGAATTGAAATTTTGCAGACATGTATGTTGCTTTTGGCCTGAACTACTTGAGCAAGATTCCTGTTGCTTATTCTATATCCTACTTACCCTTCAGACATCTCCTGAAGACTCCTTTGTCTCTGCTGATGCTCTTCTCAATAGGATATCTAAGAAAACCTCAATATGTGATCAGCCTGAATATCTAGATCCTGACTTAGCAGAAAAGAACCCCCCAGTATTTGCTCAGAAACTTCAGGTTTGTAGCAGAAATATAAATGTTGCTTTTCTTTAAGTTTGTCTATACACAGATGGAGGAATGCTTTCCCTCATCTGAAAGGGGTGGAGGGAGGCTTGGAGGGGAGGTGGGAAAGAAGCAAAGTAATGCTTTGATTCTTTCCAAAGTAACTTTGGCCTTTCAGGAACTTAAGGAACAGAGATAATTTAATTAATGTAGTACATAAACTTAAATTTCATCAGCACTTTCAGTTATCCTATACCACTGATGTATATATTTTACAGAAGTATTTATAAAGCAAATCTTTTAAGCTTGAACACAGGACTTGATGTGTGGAGAGTTGTCTTGGCACCTGGCCTCAGTAGGTCTGTATGCATAGATTCATTTTCAGAGCTTTGGGCCCTAATTCTGCTGAAATGAAAATTAGGCTTTATTTTTCTAGTCATCTATCTAATGCAGAATTTGGCATGGCTTCTTCTAGGAAAAGCAAATTGATCTGCAGATCAGTTCTGTACGTCAGGACACATTTTCTAGAATATGTATAGTGAAATTTAAAAAAAAAACCAAAAGTTGAATTGAGAGCAGCAGCTGGCATAAATTCCCATAAAATGGAAATGAAAGGAGAGGAGTCTGTGAAAACAGCTTTAGCTTCAGAAAACATTTATTTTACCCAAAGCATTGTTCATACTTATCCCCTAATAAAATATGTTTGTCTGTACCTCAAAATTAACCTAAACTGGAGTTTTGTATCAATGTTATAGTCATGAAAGGAATATGGGATGTGTTTGTCACCCAGGAGTTGTCAGAATTACACATTAAAATGTAACTTTCCATCTCTGAATGTGTTAAACACTTTTGCTTTGTTCTTAATCCATTTTTTTCCTGTGGATTGCCCACAACCAAACACTTGACAGGAGGAGTTAGAGTTTGCCGCAATGAGGATAGAAGCACTGAAGTTAGCCAGGCAGATTACCCTGTCTTCTTTCTGCTCCGAGGTATCTGTTTTGTGCCTGCCATGTGTGTGTGAGTGTGCACAGACTAAGAAACCGAGTGCTGCTTTTTTTTCTTTAACAAGGTAACTAAGGCTCGCAGAGTGCGGTGCTAAGCTGCGTGCACCTCAGTGTGACACCAAAGAGCATGCTGAAAGCAGTACTGCACACACAAATGCTGTCACCTGCTCCACCACATCCAAATTAACAAAAGACAAATTTGAAGGCAGGAAGCAGGCACGTACCTTTCTCAGGAGGAGAGAGATTCTGCAGTCCAGGTGACCGTTTGTCATTTGCCTACAGCAAGATTTGTCTTAAAATGTTTGATGGCAAAACAATACCAAACCTACTTCTTATAAAGATGCTGTAGATTTTGACTGCAGGGACATTTTCCTTTTCTTGGTATTTTCAGCTTGAAATCAGACAATTTGACCCTCAGAGTTTAGAAGTGAGAAATTCAATCAACTCTGCCTTCAGGCGTCTAAAGAAAAGGACTATAGCAGGTTTAGAAGGGCTCTAGAGCTCCCAAGGAAGAAAGGCCTCCCAACACGACATGTCTTTATTCTTGAAGATCTAAGCCTTTCTTTTATTGCTACTTCCAGGTTGCACTGGCTAGTTCTGCCTCAGAGTGGTGCTTTGCACTGCTCTAGGGATGCACGTGGTCCTCACTGTGTTTGGAATGGGATGGAAAAAGTTGCTCTGATGCACTGAGTTTGGTGGTTACCCAGTTGCACAGCCAGTTTATGGTTCCCTTCATGGTATTTTTAACAAAAAAATCAAGCCAGAAATGTTTAGTGCCTTGCTTGGGTGGTAGCATCACCTGGATGGGATGCTGATGGGATGCAGTGTCCTGCTGCAGTGAGACATTTTATTCCAAATGAGGAGAATATGCTTCTGACATGTCCTTTCCAGTGTCCTTTCTCTTCTTATACTGTCCATTAATAAGTCAGCCCAATCCTATAACATCTTGAGTTCATTGCATCATAACAACATTTGGGCTGGTTATTGGGTAGAATTTCTTGGTGCTTTAAAGATCATTCAAAAAGTAACTAGTTCATAAAAGTAAAGGGGGTTTTTTAGACTAACTGTACTTTTATGAAAAAATAATGCTTATATTTGATTTATTTTGCTTTCCTTAAATAGGCTATGACCCAGCTGTTTCCATGGTGCACATATACTTACTGAAGTAAACTCATTCCTTGCAGATTTATGGGTGGTTTAAAGTATGTGGCTATAATTTATTTAATCAAGACAAACGTGTTGTTGTCTTCATTAGCAACCAAGATTAACCTTCTAATTAAAGGAGTGAAAAAATAAATACCATTTTCCTGTGTGAGTACTAGCCTTTGTGTGACTGTCCTCTTGCTCCATTGCCCTGTGTGGCAAGTGTCAGAAGAGGGTGAGGTGGAAGCTTCTCTAGATCCCCTCTACATCCTTGTCCTCCCAGCACTTTGCTATAACATGCAGCACTCAGGCTCTCCAGCGCCAGGAAACACTCAAGATGAAACACATAATAAGGAGAATGAGAGGAAATGGCCTCAAGTTGTGCCCAGGGCAGTTGAGATTCTATGTGAGGAAGAATTTCTTTGCTGAAAGGGTTGTGAGGCATTGGAAGGGGTTGCCCAGGGCAATGGTGGAGTCCCCATCCCTGGAGGGATTGAAGAGTTGTGTAGACACAGTGCTGAGGGACATGGGTTAGTCGGGGACTTGTCAGTGTTGGGTTCATGATTGGACTCGATGATCTTAAAGGGCTTTTCCAATTGAGGCAATGCTGGGATTCTGTGAAAAATGAGGAGAACTCCACCCTCTTGCAGAGAATCGGTTGCATTTTGACATTCACGAAGCCCCATTTTGGTGAAATCGTAGAAATGTTTTTAGCTGAATACTGTGGGTGTCATGTTAGGCTGGGAAGAACTTTTGTCCTTGCATAACTTCACTATTTCAGTGGGAGGTAGCTAATGTTAAATTAGCCTGTGATGACAACCTCCATGACCTACAGTGACTGATGGCCTGGATTAAGTATAATAGGATCCACCAGATGACTGCAGTGGGTTAAATTTGGATACTAACTGGCCGAATTCCCTTCTGCTTGGCTGGCCACAGTTCTTTTCTTAATGTTGTATAATTACATTTCACATTTGCTAAAGCAAGACAGGATGGATAACAAGAACAGGATGCTAAATAAAGACACAAGCACTTGTTGTGGCAAGTTAGGTCACCTAAAATAAAGGTTAAATATGAGCATTTTCTGCTACTACTAGGACTGAGTATAAGGATGTGCAGCAGACAGAGGGAGGGTATTTGACCACTCCCAAACTTCTTGTCACAGACTTCAACAACAAGACTAGTTGTCTATTTTCACATTGCCAAAGATTTCTGTCTTCCAGCATTGAGATGAATTAACACTTCTCTAATAAACAGTCTCTGTTGGGATGCCCTGTGACCGTTTTTTTATAGGTGAAACTTGAACAGAAAGCTGATAGGATTTGTGTCCACCACGCTACAGATGCTGAGGGAATGTGAAGTTGGGTGTTGAAACAAGATCCAAGGAAAGGAGAGAAACTGAAAGGAAGAGAAGCAGCACAAATGGGATTAGTGCATCGCAACAGGGGGGTCTCTCAGGGTAGTGAAGGAGGAACATTTCCTTCAAACAAGGATAATTTTTTTTTTTCTAGTAAAGCTTTACAAGCAGAGAACTTATGCTTGAATTTTACTTGCTTTTCAGTATATTTGCAACCATAAATAGGTCTTGTTTTGCCTCCATTGACCTGTCTGCACACACATCAATTATTTAAAAGAGCAGGTCATTTGATACACACCCAAGCAGCATTCGACTGCTTGTAAAGGGCAAGCTAATTTTCAACAGGGCTAAATATTCCTCTAAACAGTATGATAAAAAATAGTTTTCATTTTAATTCCAGTGCCTTTCTCTGTTTTCTTTCACTTTGACCTTCTTGAAGTATGATAACCACAGCTGGTTAATTGATGTGGATGTGTTCCCTTTCTGGTCAGATATCTGGTTTCTGTAAAAGATGCTGGGAACAGAATAGGAAGTGTGTCAGGCTCTCAAATATTTACACTAAGATTGCAGTGACCTACATTTAGTAGTAATTCCCCTGCAGACTCTAATCTTTCTGTGCGAGGTTCGGTGACTTCAAATCCCTATGCATATTATTATTACCCCATTTAATTGCTTACCTTCTCAGCAATTAGGTGTTGAACTTAGAGCACTGACAGAGTTATTTTGGGTAATACCATCATCCTATTGGTCAGATTATATTATTTTCTCACGACAGGAATATTTAGAGGCAGCAAATAACAGTTACTAAATTGTGCAGCAGTTTGGAGCAGTGTAAAATTGGTTTTTGAAGTAAAACCACAGAGACTGGTACTGATTCCTTTTGCCAAAAAGAGAACCCAGCAGCCCGGTTTTGATTCATGTAAAGTGTTTCCAGAGTTAGGACAATACTGCTCAGACCACTGCCACAAGTATTTCTACTCAATGGTTAAATTCCAAGAGTTTTTGTAATAGTTTTTCAAAATTTTAGGTTGTTTTGCATGTCATTATTACTATTCTTTTGTACAATTAATGCAAGAAAGATCTAGAGAAAGCATAATTATATTAGTGATGTGTTGAGCACTGTATAAAAAAATGGATGTGTATTAAATGCTTTGAAGTGTTCTTTTTTCCTTAGAAATTTTCCTCATCCTAGCAGTTCCTTTGACACATTTTTGTATGAGCTTAAGAAAATTAGTGTTTCTTTTGCCACAATTAATATTTTCCAGCAATCTCTTAATGAGATCCAGTAAATTGAGCTGCAGGAGGCTTTTGAAATATGATACACACAGCTCAATAGATTGATCTTCAGGTTGGCCTTTCTTTTGAGGGCACCTTTGATGGTCTAATGGCTCTTTTTTATCTCTCAGTTTTTCTTGCCTTGTGTTTGAGGAGGAACTAAAGTACGTTTTTTTGAAGTTAGGATACTGAGTTGAGCCAGAAGTAATCTTATTTATAGACTGTCTTTCCTTTACTCAGATCTGTGGAGAGCACCATGTGGTTTTTTATTTATGCATTTATATAGATATCTGAGCTTTTATAGATATCTGGATTTTTTTTTTTTCCTGCATAGTTGTTGTATATTGGGAGATACTTTCAAGAATACCAACTATGTAATTTTGATAGACCTTGTGATGCTTTTTGCTCAGGTAGGAGAATCAGCTGGATTTGAGGTTACACCTCCTAATTATGTTGGCATTGATGATTATTTTGTGTGGTCACGGTTAAATATAGCAAAAAGGAGAAGGGATGGCCTGCTCCATAAATGCTAGAAGTAATAGTCAGTTGACTCCTGTGTTTAAAAATGAACAAAAAATATGGAACAAATTAGTGAGGCTCTTGTATAAATGAAGATGCAGTCTGAGGTTTTGTAAGTACTGTTTAGCTTATTCTTGCTCAAATTAATTTTTCTTGCCTATCTTTTAACATTGTTTCATTGGTTTCTTCATATCATCTACAGATGTGATATCTAGAACATCTAGTACTGTGTTTATCTCAATTGAGCGTTGTATATAATTTTTAATATAGCTTCTCCAATAAGGTGTGATGTGAGAACTCAGGAGGGATTGAGTGGGATTGAGATCTCCAGGGAGATCTTATAGCAGCCTTCCAATACCTGAAGGGGCTACAAGAAAGCTGGGGAAAGACTTTTCATAAGGGCAGTTAATGACAAAACAAGGGGAAATGGGTTTAAGCCGAAAGAGGGGAGGTTTAGATGAGATATTAGGAAGAAGTTCTTCACTGTGAGGGTGGTGAGACACTGGAACAGGTTGCCCAAGGAAGTTGTAGATTCTCCCTCCCTGGAAGTGTTCAAGGCCAGGTTGGATGAGGCTTTGAGCAACCTGGTCTAGTGGAAGGTGTCCCTGCTGATGGCAGGGGGGTTGGAACTGGATGAGCTTTAAGGTCCCTTCCAACCCAAACCATTCTCTGAGTCTATGAGTGTTGGTTGATCACGAGATGCAAAGTGTAGGTAGGGGACATGAGGACATATAGCTGTGGTGGTACATCTGCTGCAGAGGTCTGCACTCGGGGTTCCTATGGATGGTGTCTAAAAATGTGAGGATTTTTTTTTTTTTCCCCCCTAATCTGGTTGGTTTTAAAGTGCTGCAGTTTGCAATGTTTGTATCCAGATTTGTTTGCAAGACATCGCAAACGCATCTCACTGTCACATACTTCCTTTTTGCTCTCTTCCTCATTTCACACACTGCGTTAAACTGAATCACTGATAAAAGCAAAATTGGCAGCTGCAAATAAAACCTCAATTAACTTACTAATCGCATGCTAAATACCAGTGGGGCAGCAACGTCACTTTTTATGTAAAGCCGTTCCTGATAGATACAGTATGTTGGCAGGTCAGACCTAAGAAAGTGAGCTGTCCTCTTGCTTCTGGTTTCTTGATCTATTTTTATGCAAGCAGAATTCCCCTTAACAAGCTCTCTACCTCCAATTCTCATTTCCTCTGCTAACGAGCATTTCTTGTGGATGTTTTGATGAAATTTCTGCATCAGAAAGTAGTAAATTTTCTAATATAGGACCTTAAAATATTGGTGGCAAAGTGCTGCCTTTATTTTCTGTCTACAAGGGTAATATGGCTTTCTCGACGCTTACTAGGGATCTTAAATGTTTATTTTATGATTGCTAAATTCAAGGTTCCTTGCCAGTGTTATTGCTGTTGTAATTTAGTAGTGCACAGGATTCTTATCCTAGCTCAGGATGCTGGTGCCTAGCACTACACCCATATAAAACTTATTAGCTAAACTCATATTTAATGGTTCATTTCTTTGTATTTAAAAAAAAACAAACACACAGAGAGAACCTGCTATCCCAGCAGATGTTTCCATCTCTAAAAGTGCATTGTACTCCCGGATTGGCGCCTCGGATGCTGAAACCACCACAGGTCTTCTCTATGCCCAGCAAGACTTAGACTCTGCACTACGACTCGCCAGAGCAGAGGTAATTTAATTTTCTTCAGAATTTGGAAAAGGAAATATGTGCCCCTTGTGGTTTCCTTCTTTCCTGTTTTCTCCCAAATGATTCATATCACGAACACTTGTTCTGTTCTTGAAACCATCCTCAGCCATGCTAAAGCCACGCTAGAGGCTACCAAAGCAAAAGACAATACACTATAAGTTTTACTTTCTTTGACATGAGTGAAAAGCAGACATTATATTAAAATAAATCTTTATTGTTTTTAACTTCAAATGTACTCTGTGCATCTTGACATTGCTATATAATTATATACAAATTGTAAGGTGCGAGAAATGGGAATAAAATGATGTATTTTACAATGCTACACATAAGATTAGTCTGGCTAATAATAACAATTAAAAAATGGTTACAATCTACTGGTAGAGTATTGAAAACTTTATGATAGATTGTGTGAATGAAAGGAGCACAAAGGAACACAATCCTTTGGGTATAAAATTTGATGGACAGTCAGCCCTAAATACACATGCAGAAGCAGTAGAACGCCCTCAGAGGACAAACCATGTTTCAAACCCATGTACAGAATTATTTCAGGTTTGGCACCAGGTCAATCCAGACACAATATAGTGTAATATAGTATTTCTTGAAAACCGTCCTTGTTATAATCAGGAATGAAACATGAAATAAGAACATTGCATCTGCTTCCTTAAGTTAATTTTTCAAAACTTGAGTATGATTTCACTTATGAACTTTTTTAATTGCACCTTGCAGTCTGAAAAAGAAAAAAATCACTGGGGAGGCTTATATTTGAACCTGTTATGCACTTGAGAACTATATCTCTGTTCATTAGGATTCGATATTAAATCAAATATTGGACAGTTATTTAATTCCCTTTTTAACAGATCACTTGGGTTTACTGTGTTTTGTTTTGTTTTGTTTTTTTCCTCTGCTTTCTTTGTTTCAGATTGTGGCCAAGGAAAGAGAAGTATCTGAGTGGAAAGAAAAATATGAAGAAAGCAGAAGGGAAGTGATGGAAATGAGGTGGGTCATTAACTTGTCACTAATCACACTGACAGTCTTATTTCAGCGTGTGGGTAGTACGCAGAGTAACCTGATTGCACTACTGCTTTGGTTAGCTCAATTTGTTGTGTTATTTTTATTATTTGGATTGATCCAAAACTTTGTCTTTGTTCTACTTGGTGGGCAACCTGTTCAGGGTTGTCATTGAAGACTTTGATGTAGCTAATCTCATTTATATCCTCAAAACCCTGAGATAAGAGGTCTTAGTGTAAGGGAAGAATTTCCTCCCGTTTGTGCGGTGAATTCTCACGTGGATTGCGCAGTGATGTTTCTGTTCCCTCACTGACTAGCTTCTTGCCAAAATTGAATGTCTCAGTGGTTTAAAACTAAAGCCAATGAGCTGCATATTCAATTCCTGCTTCTATCCAGGAAAACTGTACTTAGGGAGTCAGGGTAAAAGGGAACTGTGGTGCAGAATTCGCAAATGCTGGCATGGATGCCAGGAGTCACACATGGCAGATTTAAATAGTGGCGGCGCAGGGCTTTGAGCCAAAGCATCTTAAGAGAAGCATCTGCAAAATGCAAGGGCAGTCGCTTTATTTCTTTCAGAAAACCATCTCCCAGCACCAAGCTGAGTTCTCTCACCTCTCTTGTGCTCTGCTTGGGAAAGGAAACAAAACCCTGGCATAGCTCTCAAATGTATAATGAGGCAAAACAGAAAGGAGCTGCTGGAAGCAGTCAAACTGAGGAAGCACAACAAGGAATGAACAAAATTAGGAACTGTGTAAGGAGTGTCTCAGCATTCAGCACAGGCTCAAGTGTGGTACTTGGTCTGTTCTCCAGAAACTGCGTGGGCACACGTGCCTGCTGACTGCAAACAGGCACTGACAGAGGCTGCTTATTCCTTAACAAAAGGCTGAAAGAGTTGGGGCTGTTCAGCCTGGAAAAGAGAAGGCTCCAGGGAGATCTTATAGCGGCCTCCCAGTACCTGAAGGGGCTACAAGAAAGCTGGGGAGGGACTTTTCATAAGGGCAGTTAATGACAAAACAAGGGGAAATGGGATTAAACTGAAAGAGAGGAGGTTTAGATTAGATATTGGGAAGAAATTCTTCACTGTGAGGGTGGCGAGACAGTGGCCCAGGTTGCCCAGAGAAGCTGTGGCTGCTCCTCCCTGGATGTTGAAGGTCAGGTTGGATGAGGCTTTGAGCAACCTGGTCTAGTGGAAGGTGTCCCTGCTGATGGCAGGGGGGGTGGGACTGGATGAGCTTTAAGGGCCCTCCCAACCCAAACTATTCTATGATTCTATGATAAAAGGAGAGCACAGGGTGACACAGAGCAGCTGGCACGCTGTAGATCTCTACCTTCATCTTCCTCACAGTAATTTGCTTGTGTGTCTATACCCTCAATAAAATTTGATTTGGAAAAAACACTCATCATCTAAGCTAAGCTTCCCACAGGCACATCCCTAGAACACGCGTGAAAAAAAAAAAATCTGATTAATATTGTCACAAAATGGTAAAATATACATGTGTGCACAAAGAAAGATTTCTCTTGGAAGATTAAATGTTGAAACAGTCCATGTGTAGTGAATTAGAGATGCAGCAATTAGAAACAACATAATGGTAGGCAAGGAGTGAAGGGATTATCTAGAGCTGCAAGTACAAAAGCATCACTTCCCACAAATGGAGAAGCAACGCTCCTTTACCCAAGTCCTGCACACTCTGCCTGGAATATCCCAAGCTCAGCTAGGTTTCAAGAAAAACATTTGACTGGAGAAAATTCCACTCCAGAGAAGAGCAGCCAAAAGGAGAAGTTGTAATGACGTCATAACTATCGAAGAGCTAAACCAGAGTGGGCTATACTGTAATCCAAGGGTAAAACCAGAGGCAGGCAAGAAATATTTAAATATGATTATTTGGAGGTCTGGTTGATTATGCCTCAATAAGGGAAGTCAGGCGAATGACCTCTGAGGTCCTTTGTAGCCCTGGATTCTGGTGGTTTTATGACTAATTAAATTGCAGGAAGTCAATAAATAGACTGAATGTCTAAAATACCAAAAGTGAAGCCTATGCGGCATGTCCAGCTAGGGTTAAGATGTGCCATCACCAAGAGGAATGTTGTGGCCAGCATTCTTTGGTTCCCCAGCCATAATGAGTGTTGTTTAGGCTGCCGGACTGAAAGAGACCTGTGACATGAATCAGGAACAAGACTTCACTTGACTACCTTGCTTTGCATATCAAGTATTACTAAAATCATAGAGTCATGGAATGGTTTGGGTTGGAAAGGACCTTAAAGCTCATCCAGTTCCAACCCCCCTCTCATCAGCAGGGACACCTTCCACTAGACCAGGTTGCTCAAAGCCTCATCCAGCCTGGCCTTAAACACTTCCAGGGAGGAGCAGCCACAGGTTCTCTGGGCAACCTGTTCCAGTGTCTGACCACCCTCACAGTGAAGAATTTCTTCCTAATATCTCATCTAAACCTCCCCTCTTCCAGTTTAAAGCCATCACTCCTTGTTCTATCATTAACTGCCCTTAAAAAAATCAATGTGCCATTGCCGTATCCACTCCTGTTGAACAGCTGCCACATGATTCATGAGGCTGGATAATGCAGAGAGTGGTACCTGCTTGAACTAGTCTAAACTGGTACAAATAAGAACTGGATAATGTTATTTCCCTTTGCTGCCAACGTTTGTGTTGCAGCCTAGGCTGGGAAGTGCTGTAGTGTTGTAACCCTGTTTAATGTTGTGTTCATTGCCCTGAGTCCTTGGTTTCATTTTCTAGGATGATAAAACTTCCTAAAGGTGCCTGGTGTTACAAGGATATGACATGGCTTTAAAATCCTTATTGCTTACAGCAGGCTTTTGAGGTAATCTTCTTTGGACACGAAACCAATCCATTCCTTTTAGGGGAAAATCCTTGCAGCTCTTTGCTCTCAAACGTGTCATTTATGGGCTAAAAAAAGGAAAAGAAAAAAAAAACACAATTAAAACAACAGGACTGAGAGCAGGGAAACCAGCATCTGAGCAGATCCCATTGGAGGCAGTGGCTGGGGACACGGTGAGCTCTGCAGAGATGAGCTCTGACCCCAGTCCTGAAAATTGTTTCTACCTGAAGGCTGAGCGAGGTCAGTGGGTTGTGCAGCTGTAAAGCCCCTGATCCACGGGGTGCTCTGCAGACACTGCTGACCTTTGGGGCAGGTGGCCTTCTCAGGGCTTTCTGGGCTCTGTTGGTGATTCAGATGTAAGACAGGTGGTACTGGAGTGACTGCTTTAGTGTTCTGGGAGCCCTGCAAGTTTCTCCTTTCCTTACTGACTTTTGTCTCAGGGGTTTCCCACATCCTTTCTCTAACCTCACCAACTGCAGCACAGTTCTCTAAAATGGACCAAGCGAAGGTGACCTAAGACTTCAAAAGAGACGTATTCAAATACCAGAGAGCTGCTCTGAATATCCACTTCAGATGAAGTGTAGGGTAATTTTGTTTTTCATAGAGAGTCCTACGTGACTCATGAATCAAAGCACTGATCAAGCTAGTCTCATTTCATTAGCTTTATTTGGCTCTGGGAAGGGATGGATCATCTTTCTAAATCACATTTAATCTGCTTATTTTGGCTAACCTCTTTTCAAGAAGGAAGCTCAAAGCCTACTGTGACTGTATGAAGTAAAATAGTCTTAAAAGTAACATTTTGCCACCTCTGTTTCAAAAAACAGATTTGGGAAATAGGACGTGGTGGATTTTTTGCTACATAATTGAATATTTTGGTCTTGTTCTCTTAAGTGCTAATGGATCATTTAGTCGCATTTGGAGAGTGGAAGCTTGGATATATTTTGGATGAGGGCCAAATATGCTCCTGTTAGGTTTACTTGCTACCAGTTATAACTTTACTTAACATTTACATTAAGAATAAGCAAAAAGAAACATGGAGAAGAGAGGAGAAAGTAATGGAAAAATCAGACTCTTTGTAACTCTTGAATTAGATTAATGTGATTATGTTTATATTTAAATCATGATTGGTAATGTACTTTGGACATGTTTGTTTCAAAAAACAGAATTTGTTTCAAAGCAATCCCTTTTCCCTCCCCTCACCTGTATTGATTTACACAGAGAATTAAAAATCAGGTGCAATGTTTAAACTGTCAATTTTATTTGTTACTCAGGTAATAAGAAACATATAAAAGTGTGGCAGGGTTCTATATCTCTTTTAAAATATCATAATTCAGTTACTGAATATTGTGATTTTCTAAGTAAGAATTAGCAATTATGATGTTTGCCAAAAGCTTTTCTTTCTTTTTTTTTTCTCTCTCACAGGAAAATAGTTTCAGAATATGAGAAGACGATTGCTCAGATGATAGGTAAGTGTTTCTACTCTGAAAGATGCCATCCTCCACTCTGATTTTTTGAAGAGAACCATGGCTGAAGTCTGTGGGCTCCATTTTGGTGCTAGCTACATCTGTTTGATGCTGCTAGGAATTGGGAACGCATCTGAGGACGGCACTGTGCGTGGAAAAGCTAGAGCTTCATTTTACAGAAAGTGGCCCCTGAGGCAGTCCAGGTAATACTGAAAGGTCAGGGCTTTATCTTCTGTATCAGAGCAAATTGTCCCATAGGAAACATCTTCAAATGCTTTGCCCAGAATTCCTGAGTATCTCCAGGAGAGACTTTCAATGACCTAAAAACCCTTTAGTCATCTGCTCCCGACTGTTTAACGGGAGATACCAAACTTAGCTCTTTACAACAACAGCGATTATCTGTGCTAAGTGCATTGGTCAGACCAAAACCTAGATTAACTCCAATCCCAGCTGAGAGATTATGAGTGGCCAATCCACCTCCCTAGTTATTTACTTTAAGGTCTAAATTATGACATGATTTGCCTGACAATAATTAGAAAATGCCTTTCTTAACAGCGTGACCCACAAATGAAAAATGCTACGTGCAGTAGCATTTCAAAACCAAAGGTTGTGGGACTTGTGTGCTTCCTTAGCATGGGAGTTCTGGCCCCTGGGATGTGATTTTAAAGCTTCCTCATAAGATTTCCAAAACTTTTCTAAACATAGTCTGGTTATAGAAAGCACCGGTGGCTTGTGCTGCCCTGTATGGCTGCAGCTTGAGCTGTCTGACAGGAGAACGTCTGAGGAGGGTTGTGGGTTTTCTATGGTGAAAATTACTGGGAAGAGCAGGAAAAACAGTGGCTGATGAGAAAAGCAGGACCAAGCTCATCTGAACAAGCTTGAATAAAGCAGCAGAGACGTGAAATATTGTTAAAAGCCATTAGGAGTGGTCTCAGAGTTAAATCTGGGCTGTGAGAAGCAGGAGGAAGAAGGGCTAAGCTAGCTAATGATATCTGGAGCAGGGAGTCTTCTAATTCCAGCCTGTTTACACTCTGTCTATTGAAAAATTTTGAAAAAAATAAATTATTGCTCTTACTCCCCCTGAGAGAACTGTCATGGAGAGTCCAGTGTGCCAGGAACACAGCAGGCATACCTGCATCTTTCTAACAGGTTTTTAACAGGAAAGGATTTTTATTACAGCCATCAACATATATTGTTTTGCCTGTTTTAAAATTGACAGTCCCCTCATACAGTCAGTACTGTGTGACCCTTAAATTTTTGGTTTCTTTTAAATTGTTTTTTTTGGTTTGTTTTTGTTTTTAATTAATGCTTGAGTTGTGTTTACATATGTTTGTAGTGAATTTGCTTATTTTTCCCGAAAGAGTGGGGGGGAAATAGTTCAATGTCTGGTGCTTTTGCTGCCTTCCTGCATTTTTCAGCTGTTGGGGGACACTGCAACCTTCTTTCTAGTGAAGGAAAAAATGGGCCTATTAATAAATGTGTTGATAATAAAAGTAATATATAAAATAAATAATAAAAATATAA